TAGGCGGAGCGCCTTTACTGCACTTCCACCTGATCCGCCATCTTGTTTGTTCTCCTGAAGTTGTTTTTGTTGTTAAGTGCTGTCAAGTCGGTTCCAACTCATAGCGACTATCTAGGGTTTCCAAGGGGCAGCTGGTAGGTTTGAACTGACAACCTTGCAGTTAGTAGAATTCTTCAATTGCATCATCACTGGTTTTAGCGGTTGGTATGTAGATTTGTATAATAGTGGTATTAATTGGTCTTCTGTGTTGGTGGTGGTGTTAAGTGCTTTCGAGTCCATTCCGACCCATAGCAACCCTGTTTAGAGTTTCTGAGGAGCAGCTGGTGAGTATGAACCACTGACCTTGCAGTTCAAATGGCTTTGCAGTCTGGCACATTAACTAGGCATATGGATATTATCCTATCACAGATAACTGTACTTCAACATGGATTTTGAAATGTTCTTTTTGATCATGAATGTGTTGCCATTCCTCTTTGTCAGTCCTAACAAATGATACCCATTTCAAAATGGCCAACACCAGTCTATTTCAGCTCACTAATGCCTATGATATCAAACTTTGTGCATTCCATTTCATTTTTGATGATTTTCCAGTTTTCCTAGATTCATTGTTTGCACATTCCATGTTCTGATTATTAATGGATATTTACAGCTGTTGCTTTCCATTATGAGTTGTGCTCCTTCAGCAAATGAAGGTCCAAAAAGCTTTGCTCTATATATGCCATTATGGTCAAGTCTACTTTGAAGAGGCAGCTTTTCCCAGTTGAATTTTGGGTGCCTTCAACCTGAGGGGGCTCATCATCTAGCACCATTTCAGACAATATTCTGCTGCTATTCAAAAGATTTTCCGTGGTTAACCATTCAGAAGTGCTCTGCGTCTCCTTCTTCCTACTCTGTTAGTCAGACTATACTTTGGCAATATTTAACCAAACCCCTTACTGATGCACATTCAGATCGACTCAACTGCTGTTACAAATAATGCTGAAATGAATATCCAGTATCACATCATATATGTACATAAAATTTTAGATA